CAGTATCTTTTCCCTCTGTCTCCCTCTGTCTGCCTCTGTCTTTCTTTCCATCAAACTTGGATGTTGTTACAATATTCTCCAATGCTTCTTTCCGCATTGTGTATCCAATGAAATCTGCCTGTCGCATTCGCATATTCGTCATAAGCTGTCGTCTGTAATTTGCTTCAACCACGACTTCTTCATTTGTTTTTCTAGCTGTCCATGGGATACGCAGCATGCGTCTTATGAACCAAAACTCTGTCGCCTCAATTGTTCTTTCCATCTATTGATTGTCCATGCTTCGCATCCGTATAATAGGATAGGCTCGATGTAACTTTTCAGTACTCTTTTTGTTTTCAGTGATAGATTGTTTCATTTTGTGGAAGGTGGCTTTTGCTTGGCAAATGCGGCTTTTCACTTCGGTGTGACGTCTCCCATCTGATGATATAACGGTCCCAAATATTTAAAATGTTGTACTTGTGCAAAGTCATATAAGTGTCCAAGACTAGAGGTTTTTAGTTTTAGTGGAGGTTTTACGGCGCTCACAACTGCATAAGGTCATATGAGCGCCAGAAGATTAGAGGTGTCACAAGAAAGTAACAAAGACAAAACAGAAGGAGAGATAAGGATGATAGAACTTTGGTAGGGAAAAAGGAGCAAACCACACCTGAGCACCTGCCAAAGAGGGATCCCCACACGCGGAACACACGGCACAAAGACGGGACATGAAACGCTGATGACGGTGACCCGCCCATGTCTTATTTTTTTTTAGTTATAGGAAGTGTTTTGCGTCACTTGCAACACAATTAAGTTATATAAGTACCGAAGATTAGAAGTGTTACTAGAGAGTAAAAAGTTGTTCCCACATCCGATCTGGACATTGGGGATTGCCTTGTTAGTGAGACAACTTCCTGGGCCTTCGGCACATTGTGATAGGGTGGCCAGTTCCTTTCCACGCTGCCTTTACTTCTCCAACCTCGAAGTCAGGTACCCATTACTGCTGGGTGGACAAGAGGGGGCGAAAAAAATCCGTGTCCGAACCGAGGCTCGAACCCAGACTTTCCGCTTCGAAGACGAGCGCACTAACCGCTCGGCCAACATGAGAGTAACAAACACAAAAACGGAAGGAGGAGGGATAAGTATGATCAGTGTTTCATAGGAAAAGAGAAAACCACACCAGAGTACCCGCCAAATCAAAGATCTCCGCACAGGGACACACGGCATAAAGACGGGAATAGATGAGCTGATGACAGTGACCCGAGTCCGTACAGGAGATGAAGCGCATACAACTCAACGGCTGGGGTTTAGTTCGTTGGGTACAAAGAAGCACACTGACACGACAGCGCTAAGTAAAGCTGGAAAAGAGCGGGATAGAAACCGAGAGGAACAATAAAGTAGGATCAACTGGTGGCGCCCTAAAGAATAAAACCAGGACCTACTAGTGACACCCTAAAGAATAAAAGTAGTTTGGTTTTAGTTTTAGAAAGTGTTTAGCGGCACTTGCAACACAATAAGGTCACATAAGTGCCGAAGATTAGAGGTGTTACAAGAGAGTAACAAACACAAAAAAGGAAAGGAGATAAAGACGATAGATGTCTGACAGGAAAGAAGAAGCAAACCACACGAGAGCACCCGTAAACCACCCTCGAAAAAAAGTAGGACCTACCAGTGACACCATAAAGAATAAAAGTAGGACCTACCAGTGACACCATAAAGAATAAAAGTAGGACCTACCAGCGACACAATAAAGAATAAAAGTATGACCTACTGGTGGAGCCCTCAGAACATCCACGAAGCTGAGCGGCTCAAGGAGACATTTCAAATTTGTTTAGAAAACATTGTGTCCAAACTCACGCTTTAAAAAAAAAAAAAAAGGGAAGCGATGTTTAAAATTTTGAAAATTGTCACCCAGGTATTTGTTCTCCCACACCCTTACAACAAAAATCACTGCCACGGTTTAACGGCATACATAGGCCGACCAAAGCCCCCCCCCCCCCTGTGACGTCACATACGTGATGAAACGAACCAAGGTCGTTTTAGCGAGATATCAATTCCAGTTATCAAAACCTTGAACATCTCATAACGTAAGCTAGCTGTTCAAATGCACTAAGCCCAGTTTTTTTTTCTTTTAATAAATTTCAGTACTTTAATCGGTAGTGTCTGCTGCACATAACATGTTCAAAAAACGTTTTGTCCAAACTGTTGAAACAAAGCAAGAACATACTCATATTGGTTGTACAATTTTTTAAAGAATGACACTTTTTCTCTCCTGTTGTCAGGCTTACTACATGTGAACAGCTTGCCGACGACATACCGTTTATCTCCAAGCAGAGCGGCTTCATCACCTGAATCACGCGATCACGATACATTCAGTACGATATCTCTTTTAAAACACTTCTTTCTTTCCACCCCAGATTAATGATGATGTAATATTTTCAGGGGAGTCAAATCGTAGGCTAAAGATGTTACTACACATGGGATTTGCTTTTGTTGTTGTTTTTGTTGCTGTTGTTGTTGTTGTTGTTGTTGTTGTTGTTGTTGTTGGGGGTTTGGGTTGGGGGAAGGGGGTATTTGTTTTGTTGTTGTTGTTTTTGTTTTTTTTGGGGGGTGCATGGTTTTGTTTTTGCAAAACAATCAGATCATATAAGAGTTGAAGATTAGGTGTTATAGGAGAGTGAAAACAAACAAAAAAGGAGGAGAGATAAAAAGAGATAAAGACGATAGATGGTTGATAGAAAAGAAGGAGCAAATCACACTAGAGAACCCACTAACCACCCACTAGACACAATTAATTGGGGGGGGGGGGTGGTTCAGCACACGTATTTTACAACACATCATTTCTATTGTGCTGTATATAGAAAGTGGGGCCCTCCAACCAACTGCATACGCTTTTGAAAATGCTGCTTTCGTGATTTTCATTACTGAAGACTCTTAAGAATATTTTGACGTTCTCATTTCAAAAGCCTCGTCATGAATACAGAGCAGCTGACTCAAAGTCATTGAAGCTGAGTAGCAACTGTACTTACATCAAAGTTTTTAAGACTACATTATTTGCCTTGATCTGGGGCGGGGTGTGTGTGCGTGTGGGGGGGTGTTGAGAAAAGAAATTCAAAATAAAACCAACAGGAAAAGTAAATATTGGATCTTTGCACCACCTCTAATATTGGAGGGATAGACCTGTCATGGAACATTATCTTATTAAACTACATTGATTTTCAACTATTTCCGTATGATGTTCAAAGTGGCTTGACGTCTCAATCATATAGGAATTTGAAAAGGTAGTCACTGACGTACGGCATTATTTATTGAGTTCCAGGAGAGGGAAGAGGGTGTGAGTAAATTTGTGTGAGTAGTACCAAACAGGTTAGTATGCAAGAGTTTAACACCCATTTCAACACTAATAAGTTATTTAAGAGGTGGGACCTCCGAATTTAACGTCCATCTCTGTTAGGACTGAGCCAAATAGGTTGAGAGCATTGAAAACTCAACAAAACGACTCAAGTTCAAGAATGCCCAGGCTGGGATTCAAAACCAGTTTAGTTTTAGTAAAAGTTTTACAGCACTTGCAACACAATATGGTCAGATAAGTTTGGAAGATTAGAGGTGTTAAAAGAGAGTAACAAATACAAAATAGATGGAGGGGAGAAAAGGACGACAGATGTTTGATAGGAAAGAAGGAGCAAACCACACCAGAGCACCCGCCAACCACCCAAGGCCATCAACTCCATAGTCCAACATGATACAAACCAAGCTGTTTCATTGGATTCTTCCTAAGCACAATACAAGAATGAAATGCTAAACAACTGCAAGTCATGAATGAAATCACTTTATCCCCTTCATAGCCTACCTGCTAAAATAAAGTGGGATTGTACGGAAGGGTTCGTAACACCACTATATAGTTATGAGAGGTTTTTTAGTTTTAGTAAGAGTTTTACGGCACTGGCAACACAATAACGTCATATAAGTGCTGAAGATTAAAGGTGTTACAAGAGAGTAACAAACACAAAAAAGGAGGAGAGATAAGGGCGAGAGATGTTTAATAGGAAAGAAGGAGTAAACCCAACCAGAGCACCCGCCAACCACCCATCTACATGGTTATGAAAGTTTTAAAAATGACAGCCAATCGAGAGCACATAATAAGGTCAACCACTGCAATACAAAAACCAATCACACCACAAAAAGGTCGACATAAAGTATCTGACCAACAAAACAAGTACCCTATTGACAAACGATTCAGAGCACAATAAAGCCCACGGAGAGAAACAGTCACCATAGTAAAGCAATGTGAACAACGGGATCTTGTAAACATTGGCAGTAAAGAGAAAGGGCTAGTCAAAGGGAGCAAATCCGAGAATTCCTTATTCACGTTCACAAATTGCTTCCCCTTAATTTTAGCCATTTTTGTTGAAACTTTTTTTGGGGGGTGGGGGGGTGTTGTTGTTGTTGTAAAGGAAAAGTAACAAAGATACAACATCAACCATACACAGTGCTCGGGTTTTCTATAACATCTGAGGAATACATGCCAGTCTCTCGACATTAGTACTCTGAGAGGAGAAGAGAAGAGAAAATACTTTGGTCACCCCAACAGAAATCTAAACACGGACCCCATGACAACTGTACTGCAAGACAAAGAGAAATAAGGCAAGGCTGACATTACACATAAAATCTGACAGTGGTCTTTAACTTCATGAAATCATACATCAAACCAGAGACAACGGAAGATGGAGGCTGTCATGACAAGGAGTGGGGCACCAACAGACAGACACAGATATGGTGACAGTTTTAGTTTTAGTAGAGGTTTTACGGTGCTCGCAACTGCATAAGATCACATGAGCGCCAGAAGATTAGAGGTGCTACAAGAGAGTAACAAACATAAAAAAGAAGAAGGGGAGATAAGGACGATAGATGTTTGATAGGAAAGAAGAAGCAAACCAACCAGAGCACCCGCTAACCACCCACATATGGTGACAGGTGACAGGTAATCTCAGCACAAATGTAGTGTTACGGTAGGTTTTACTCACCTAATGATGTCGTTGCCTCTGTTGGTGAAGACATCGGCCGTGCCACTCATGCGCTCGGAGCTCGCCTCACTGCAATTGCTGGCCGGGTTGTTCTTGGCCAGGCAGGTGAGCACCATGCCCAGCGTCTGCATCAGGCTGGAGCACACGGGATCAAAAGGAAGGCTGTGGCAGCTTCCCTCACTGCTCTGGTCAGAGCTGTTGCTCCCGCCGTAGCAACTGCCTGCCCCGGTCACTCCCCCACCAACAGTGGTAGTCAGGCAATCAAAGCCCTCGGGAATCATGGCCTGTAAAGAAACACCAAATGAAGAAGGAGTTGCTGAGTCCAAGTTGAACTGATAGAATGGTGGCTACATTTCACCAAGAAGACAGACTAAGACAACAGTAATACTGTTAAAACTACTCAAAACCATCCTATAACAACCCACAAATACAAGCAGCTTTCAGAAAATTTTTCAAAAACATCTAACAAGAAAGTAGTAACATTTCTCAACTGTCGAATGACCTTTAGAAAAAATAAACAGAAACTTGTGCAGCAGTACAATGTCAGCTTGTAAAATCTTTATCATGAAAGAGATCATTCCCCATTCCTTTTAAGTTTATTTCGTAAAGGGGGGGGGGGGGATATAACAAATCGCTCACAAATACATTGATTTTTAAAAATTACTTAGCATAAAAACCAAATATTGGAAAATTAAGGCCTATAAAAGAGTTATCAAAACAAATAGTACTGTCAGGTCAACCGGAACATGACAAAACTTGTATGAATATCATAGAAATTCAAGCAGGCACCTAAACATTCCTACAGACTTAAATATAATAAGACCTTGAGAAACATAACTATGAACAGAAAAAAATACCACTTACGTTTAGTCTGTTGATAAGGTGGTCCACCAGAGCTCCGATCTTGTTGCTGAACAGCATGTAATGACAGTTATCAAAGTTGTTCTTGCAGGCTAGCCTGTACACATCAGAGGTGTGGCTCAGAGATCTGCACAAATACAATGACAATAAATGAGAGGCATCACGGCGAAAGCAATCGGGGGGGGGGGGGTGATTGGCCAAGGATACTGTCTTGGACAGGTGGCCATTAGAGAAGGTTCGACTGTATGTTTGGGCTTAGTGCAGTCCATATTATGCCTACCATATTAACTAAAATAACAAATAAAGAGAGCAGGAACCAAATCAGCAAACAAAGTTAAATAGGAAACAGAAACATCCCTCGTTTGATAAAAAAAAATATATGTATATTTGACCCAGTACAAACAAAGAGTAGAGCTTGAACAATAACTCACTTGGCTGGAATTACACAAGGCAAGGAACCTGTGCCATCATCAATTGTGAGCAAAATTCTGCTCAGGGAACTAAATCCACCCAGTACGCGGAAGCTTGTCTGGTCATTCACATTCTGAAAATGAGAACGATAAACACTTTTTTACTGTCAGGGAAGTTTTGACACAATATACTTTTATAAAATAAAATGGTTAAGGGGATGTGAAATTAGAATATATTACATAAGTAAATGAGCATTGAACAAATATTCAAGCCGAACTGATTTAATTCTTTCAGACTTTCACCAAGAGTATTCATCTTCAGAGAACCATTCCTGATGCCAGCTGCTAAAAGGTTGAAAAATTTCAGGCAAATTACTTTATCTCTACACAAACATCAATAAACAACAATTTTTCTCCTAATCTTCAGCCTCTGAAATCTCCACAGGTAGCTCTTCTTTATATGCTGTTGCGTCTAGTCCAGTGCTTGTTAACTCTTTAATAGACAGCCCTCACTTCTGCCACCTTCAAGAGGCTAAAGTTTTCGTACCATCCACCAACATGTACTTCCAATCAGGGCATTAAATAATACTTGTCACTACCCTGGTGATCCCCATCGCCCACTAAGATTACCTAATCCCCCATTATGGCCGATATAGCCCAAGATGGCAAGCACTGTTCTAGTCCAAAGTCTCACCAGTCAAAATTTGAAACCTCAAGAAAGAGTAAGACTTTTTAAACTGACAGCATAGTGAGCAAAAAGAAACAACCACACTGCAGAGACAAAAAGGAAAAACTACATTGCCAAAAACAAAACAAAGAGCTAAGAATATTCAATATTTCTTGGAATTCCAGAAACTTCCAGAAAAGTGGAATCCCTTTCTTACAACTATAGACAACTGTTTCATTTCATATGCAAGAGATTTTTCACAGCAAGAGAGGTAACCTTTTTCTCAAGTATTCTGCCAATTTCTCCTAGAGCTCTGTCCAGGGCAGACACTTTGTTCTGGGGCCAGGGTCCAGAGTCCTGAGACTGAAGATATTTGCTGATGTCTTTGATCACTTTGTGCATTCTGTCAATAGAGAAAAATGTGATGAGAAAATTCATATTTTTTAAAAAAGTTAACTAACCCACAATTCTTTAAGAAAGTTAATGCTTAAAGGAAAAGTATAAAGCCATTCATCTATCTGCCAAAAAAAAATAACAGTTGAGACTGCTCTTATGCGCCTGTCAAAGACAATCACTTGAACAAACGAACACTTCCCACTTCTTTTTTGGCTTTTTTACATTACAAAACAAGGACACTGTCTGAGACATCCACCTGTCCGAGACAATCACTTTTGTCATCTTTCAACTGTACTTACAAATTTAGAGTTCACAGTAGGGTTTGATAGAACAAATATTACAAATTGATTATTTAAGTTGTCTATACACTAAAGTGTGGATAGAATACCAGTCACATAAACCCCAGAAGAATAAAACCACAGTAAGGCACCTGCCAAATCAATCTTGTTATAAAGAAACAAACAACAGACCGAAATTGCACATTTGCCCGTAAATGAAAAGGATTTAAACAATACAAAGTCTTTAAAAAGACTTTTAAAACATTTAAATTCTACTTTTCATACATGAACAGATGAGGCATAAATATATTTAGGGGGGGGGGGGCACGGGGGGAGAGACATACAAAAGAAACTTATTTTCCTTAACGAAAGGAAGCATTAAGCTGATGATTCTATCTTTTTCCTTAATTAAAAAGTAATATCTTACTTGGCTTTATGCTCTGATTCAGCAAGTTTGCATTTGTTAGCAAGACTGTTCTCATACTCATGACCCCTGAAAGAAGAAAAGAAGCATGTTAAAAATAAATTAGAGGTCAGGGGTTTCTCACTTCTGTCTGCGCAGGGTGTGTGGCACTGCTGCATCTGTGGACTAAGCCTTTGCAATTCTGTCCCTTTAAAACAATGTAGAAAGACAACAAAACATGAATCTCTGGAAAAAACTTAAGACTAAGGGGCACAACTAACTATTTGTTCAGATAGCTTTTCAAAATAACAAAACAATAGTTTCAAAAACCCAGAGACTAGAATGTTTTTTTACCTCGTAATCATTCTCTGTCTCAATTTTTTGCACCGCTTCTTCAAAGACTTCTGTCTCTCTTTTTCAGTAACAATCTTGGGATGGTTGCTATTGTCTGGAGCATCAACAATATGTTTCAGGTTGAAAGTTTCCTGCAGATAGAAAGAAAGGTAAGGGACATTTAAAAACAAAAAAAACAGATTTTTAAAACAACCAAAGAAGCAACCATATTTCCACAGAAACCTCAAAAGAAGTCATCAAACATCAAAATATACAGTCACACATGAGATCAACATAGAGTGCAACATTTTCTTATTTACTATTCATGGCTTTTTACTTGTCAGAAATAAGTACTTGAAAATTAGACAAAAGACATTCTTTGTGACAGAACTACTGTGCGCTGGATTTATTTTTGACGCACTCTTTTTTTTTCTTCGTATTTTGCCTATTTCATTTTTCACTAATGTTCTGAACTGGCGATTCGAATTCCCCAATATTATGTATTCCTTTTCAGTCTTTTGCAGTGGCCCAATTTTTTACATTTTGCAAACACTTGAGATCTCGAGCTTCTTTAAAACTTGCAACAATCAAGAATTCTCACTGCAAGAATAAAATGCAGTATACAGGGTTCCTGCCATGAACTTCCCATCAAATTCAAGGAGTTTTCAAGGAGGTTTCAAGGAGAAATTGTTAAAATTCAAGGAGATTTGGTCAAGAAATTCATGACGAAAGCCTATTTTTTAAAAAACACACATGTCCGAAAGGAATCATATCATATTCATAGTTTCGATTTTCCTAGAAAAACTGCCAACCCGGCTTCTCAATTTTCAAGGGGGGGGGAACAAAAATCCCCCAAAAGGTGTAAGATTATAATATTTAAACAGCCCCAAAACCACGCTGGTCACACCTGCCCAACGTCAGCGGGAGTTTAAAATTGAGGACCTGACGCATGTGTCAGGGGACAAACTGTTTTTGTACACCATGGAACCTCCATGCAGTTGGGTTATTTTTTTAAAATACATTTTTTTGGTACGGTAGACATTCTCATTTAACTTTTGATTTTGATCTAACAAAACTCACGTTGGTTACTTTGATTGCAATGAGCATCAACAATTTAATGTATTCCAATAATTCCATGACATTTTTAGCTATACACGTGTTGCAGCTTTTCTTGCAACTTTTGTTGATTTTTCTTGCAACTTTTTGCAACTTTTGCTATTTTCAAATGCAACTTTCTCTGAGGACAGGCTTGTATAACTTTCTTTTCTTTTTTTTGTTTGTTGCCCCCACAAGTGACAGTACAGTGACAAATACCGGTTTTGATTTATTTTCATGGCGACA